ATGTAGTTACAGCGTCTCCCTCATTTTTCCAATTTTACCCTGAAGTGGAAATAGGATGTTGTGCTTTTTTAAAACAAAATCAAACCCCCCACAACTTGAGTGGGTCAGGAGTAGAGTTTTGGTAATGCATGGACAAATCCTGGTGTGACTTCATAACATAATGACTAATGGACAATAGTTTTATGTTTTTGAAGTGGAAGCAAAAGGGTGAGGATGCATCCTACAGAAGCCCTGGAACCAGTGCAATGAGAAGGGGTAGGAACAGTGAGCCAGGGAGGCTTTTTGGCTTGTTCTTAGGTGAGTTCTGTGATTGACTTAATCCAAAATGTCATCACTTTAATAGTCATTGAAAGGCATTGAGTTTTAGGAGGTTAATTACAGTTTTATTTTGTAAAATGGGGCATAGGGTCATTGTGTCAAGCCTTCCCTTATGGTTTGGTAGGATAAACGTGCCTAGTAAGGAGTATGTTTTCTCTGTGTGGGGTTTTTTTTCCATTTCCTTTTCTGGGTCTTCTAGAATAATACATTCTGTAAGATAATTTTCAGGTATCCTGTGTACAACTATTTATGATTTTGTAAATAGTCTCGGATTTTTAATCTGTTTGGCTGTGTTAGCATACCTGTGTATGGAAGATCCTCTTGATACAGGTAAAGTCTAAATCACTTGGACCTTTGGGGCATCTTACCCAGAAGAGATGGGAATGAAAACTGTTGCAATTGTCGATTTTTTTATTTTTTTTTAATTGATGGACTTAATATATTGGAATTATTAGAGACCATCACTGTAATCCAATGAAATAGGTGAAAAATGAATAAAATGTTGGAGCATTCAATGTTCAGAGTACCTTTGCCTATTGAGTTATTCAGTTAAATTGCAGTGCTAATTAGTAGTAGTCTTTCAGCTGCATTTCATGACAGATATTATTGGCAGACAATACTTGTTGCTTTTATTCGTAGATGTATCTGTCTGTCTGATCACAAATGTGAAGTGAGACCGAAATGCAGGGAGAGTCCTCTTGCAAAACCAACAGTGACAACATCACAAAATGCTGTAAGGGAACAGTTAGCCCCCATGAGCCTCTACTGGGGCTATAACAATACAGAAAGGAAAGGTTTTGTCCTCCTTTGGGAAGGTTAAAGCTTGCTTTTGTAGTAGCTATATAAGAGGTTGGAACAAACAAGATGGTTTTGAGTTTACAGCTATGGCGTCTAATCATATTCAAAACCAGTTTTCTTTCTGTAAACAGAAAAATGCCCTGAGCTATCTGCAGTCCCTTCAGAATAAGGGTGCTCAGAAAAGAAAATAAATTTGTCCAGTAACTCCTATTTTGCAGACTTTTTGCCAGTTATTTGTGGAATACTCAAACTGTGCACTCTGCATGCTAATCCATTGGTAGGTGTGCTGGGGAGCAATGACAGTAGAAATGGGGAAGTGGACTCAGCATGGAGCGTCCCCTTCCAGCCTGGCTGTGTCAAGCTTACCTCACAGGTGTCAGTAGGTACCAATCCTCCAGAGGGCTGTGGAAGCCCCCCTGTGGTCCAAAGAATGACATCACCAGCCCGTTCCAGTAGAGTCAGGTCAGAGTATGCATCATCGAATAGTTCTTCCTAAGAGGGAGAAGAGCTTTTGGCATAACTAATTAGCTTCTGTTTCTGCTTGCAGCCTGTATCAATCTAGCTGTGGTCAAGTGAGGCCCCTTTCAGAGAGTAGTCTTCAAAATTTCCACGAACTGAATTTCCTTCCTTTCTCAGAAAGAAAGAATGAAGTTTGGCAGCATATATTATTGAGTCTTCTTTAAAACATAGATTTGAAAAGGGCTTTAGTAGAAATATTTATATGGTTTCTCCCGCCCCATCACCTTCTGTTGCCGTTGCCATGAGGGATGAGTTCAGGTGCCAGCTGATGGTGTTTTCTCTTTGTTACTGTGTCACATAGGCAGGATGTAGCTTTTAATAAACCGCTATCCTTTATTGTTGTTGCACTTTTTAAGGCTCTCGACTGCGTTCTTCTTTAAGCAATAAACATACCTTGTCAATTTGCACTATCATATTTGTAAAATACTTTTTTTTTTTTTTTTTTAAGCCTTGGTTATATGACTAGAAGTTTCTGGTAGTTTTCAGAAGCTATTGGAAGCTTCTAAAGTTTTCATCTATGATTGATTACAGCTCTTCCCAGTAGGACTTGATGCTGTTTATTATGTAAGTTAACAATACAGATGTAAAAGCAAGGAATGGTATCAGGAATGCAATTTTATTTGAAGTACAGTTTAAATGTGAAGAATGCTCTGAAATAACTCTGTATAATTTAGATCATTGTCCTTAGAGCTCTTCTGATTTTGCTTAATTTGCTTTTGTGAAGCACAAAAGAAGTTTGTTAAATCAACACTGCGTACGTTTGTGGTTATTTTGTATTCATGTAGTGCGGGTGAATTACATATGGGAATCAGCCCAGGGTTTCTAATCCCAAACTCAGCTGCTTGAGTTGATAATCCATAACTCATTACCAAGACACTGAATAACTGGTGTCAAGGATGGTGGCCAAGTTAAGACCTCTTTACGTAGGCCCACTGTAGATGAAGGCTGAGAGAGGCTACACTTTGCACAAGGGTAAAATTCTGTAACGCATGACAAAATGAGATGCCTGACGCAATTAATTTTAGTCAGGAATTGAATTCAAGTACAGAAGAAACAATTCTATTTAAAGTGCTTGCATATGCCTTTAGTACACTTCCCTTCCTCCCTCCCCGAATAGTAAATGTTCTGTTTTCTATGGGTTTAGTGTTATGAAGGACAACTTCAAGCATTTTTCATGTAGATAAAGTAGTTGATTTGTCTAGTGGTGTAGAAATACAACTTTGCTGTGGTAATTGGATGCAAGTGTGTTCTGGGAAACTGATTGGGTATATGGAAAGAAGATGATGTAAAGGATTATTTGAAGGTGTTCTGACGGTAGAAGGGAGAACATTCCTCTCTGTGTAAACTACCCACCCAGGTCTCCAGTTCTTCTGTTTTGGGAAGGAATATGCAATATTAACTTGAGGAGGAGCGTTGTTAATCCTGTGCATTAGGTCGATTGTATTGCCTGATGTGTAACCATGTATGAAATGAGTCTTACCCCTGTTACGTTTTCAGTAGTTTTATTATTTACTTTGTAAGAAAAGATCTCTTGAAGATTTCAGTTTCAGGGGCTCATCTAGGCACTACTTGCTGAATGTCTGAGATACGGATTCTCTTTTATCACTGACAGTGTCCTTCTTAGTTTATTTCTTTTAAAAAAGAAACATAGTTGAAGTATTGTCTTGGGAAAAAAGGTTTTAAGCCCCCCCAATAACGAGTAGAACCTGAGAGCCAAGTAGGAGGCTACCTACTTAGGAGCTTTATTTTTTTGGTCCTCAATTTGCAAATTTTTGTTTCTCTATTCAGCAGATTTAATTTCTTTTTTGTTTCATTTCAGCATAAAAATAAACCTCATGTGGTGACCTTAGCTAGGAGCCACTCCGTTTCCTCGGCAGCTGCTGCTACACGCTGCTTGTCTGACAGACGGGGCTAGGTCATGGTTACCAGAGGACACCCTTGTGGTCATAACCAAGTTGTAAATGTCACTTAGATTGTTTCTGGATGCCTATCACATGTGTATCGCCGATTCTGAAGTGGATAAAGTCAGCCAAAGATTCATGTGGGACTTGGGACTCCCAGAAGATTACTTTTAAAGCCAAACAGCAGCAAGAGTTGTGACATGCATCTGTAAGCAGCCGCAGTGATTTGACAGTTCTTTAGCCCTTTGGTAGAACTGACAGCACGCCTGCAAAGATCGTCAGGCCTGTTTCAGCCCCATTAATGTTGTCTTGAACACGAGCCTGCGGTCTGAAAAAATGATAAATGTTCAGTGATTGATGATTTTATAGTCCCAGGGCACTTGGGATTGTTTCTGGTAGTTGTGAACAATTTTCTCCCCCTCCCTTAATTAGGCCTGAGCTTCGGGGTTCTATCTACCAGGCTTAGAGGAGTGAGGAACTGGGAACTGTAAGGTTTACAAAATGTTTTTCAAAACTTTGGCTACAAAGGAGGTGCAATTTTGAGTGCCAGGTCTGTCATGTTTTGGTACAGAATAAGCAATTCAGTGCACATCTGATCATTCTGAATGGCAAATACCATATTCATACCTCTTCGTACATTTTGAAATGTACAATAGAGAATTTTAAGTAATTGGGTTAATTAAATAGTATGTGCATCTTAGGGCTTCTGGGTGTTCTGTCTTTGCGCCTTTGGTTCAAGCTTTTAATGAGCCGGTGTTTCCCGACTGCATAAGGGTCACTCCAAGCCTGCTGTGTTGGCTGTACTAATGCTCGAAAAGCGCAAACCAGCATTTCAGTTTAAGTGCTTGTTTGCAAATCAAGTGACAAAGTTGTTTGTTTAATCACTGTTTGGAAGTAAACCTTTTGTCAGCTATGCTGTTTAGTAATGTGATAGTGTCAAAATGCCTATTAATCTGTAACATTAATAGCAGGCTGCAAGGGGAAGTGGAATTTCTTCTTATTTGCACTAACATTTTTTTCCTAATGTCAGTGGCTCTTCCTGACCTTTTTACTGTGTTGTTTTATTAATGGAAACAGAAACCTTTAAAAAAAAACCAAAACAACAAAAAAAAAAATCAGTGGTGACTTCTTCAGACTAATTTTACTCTCTGTAGTTAGTGACTTAACACTAAGAGGATTGAAATATCAAAACATCTCAGTATTATTCAGTTTTTAGAAACATTGTCCATGAGGACACAGCTTATTAAGAAATGTATGTGGTTTCTTTTTGATGGCGGAGAAAGAAAAGAGGGGGAGAAAGTAAAATGTGGGCAGGGAGTAATTTCTGTGAGATAGACCCGAAAGCCAACTTTTGTGATTAATGACCAATTGTGACTCTGCACATTTAATTAGGAAAGTGTCATTACACTCAATTAGCAGGGCTGCCAAATAATCTGTTTAATACTCTGGTCTTTTTTTCTCTAGGGTTTTGCAGACAGTCCTCATTACAGTGATCACTTGAATGACAGTCGATTAGGGCCCCATGAAGGATTGTCCCCGACACCTTTCATGAACTCAAATCTGATGGGTAAGTAGGTAATTCTTTACGAGTATCCCCTCAAAGCCTCTTTGGTCAGAAAGAGACATTTTTCATTCCCTTGTCTAGGTCTGACATGTCAAGCATCTGGAAGTTGCTCTGTTTCTTTTAGAAACACTGACTTTCAAAAATTCCTCATAAGGGCCATTGTCTGGGACTTTTCAGAAGAAGGAACCTAGAAAGCAGATATATTTTGATTTGATTTTTACATTTCTCTTGCAAATTCTAAATTATTTTAAAGCTGAACTTTACTTAACTTTTTCTGAGAAGATACCTATAGCAATTCTTAATTTGTACATTTGAAAAAAAAAAAATATTATTTTTCTAACACTCTCGATTCCTGAACTACCTACCAATTTCCTTCAAGCTTTTCTTCAGTTAGCAATTTGAGGGCTTGCCTCTTATTTTTAATTTTCTAATTTCTTTGATATTTGTTGTATTAGAAACATTGTCACTTCTAAGAAATAGATGCAAACTCCTGTTTTGCTAGGCAATCGTTACTGCTTCCAGGCCTGTAGGTGTCCAACACTTTCTGCTTTTGAAACTGGAAAAACAAGCAAGAAAAATGTGTATTATATTGTGGGCTTAGGTATTGAAAGCTTTTTCTTCATTGCCTGCCCTTTTGTGTTACCTGAAACATGTTTCAATGTATTGATGGCATTGTTTGAAAACTCTTCTCCCTATTCCAGTTTGGAGCATAAAAATGTTCATTTCAATATTATTGTTTGGCAATACATGGTCTTGGGACAATTTTTTTTCTTGTGCCTTAAAATTCGGGATGACTCTGAATGTTTCTTCTGAATTTGTACAGTTGACATTGTTTCACTTGCGTATTCTGTGTGTTGTAGACATGACCTATTTTGTGATCTCAGTATTGTCCTTTTAAGACATAGCCATGGTAATCTAAGTGGATTACCTAAATCCAAATCCTGGTGGTCTGCAATTTCTTTTGGAAATCTTTCTACTTTGCTCAGTCTTTGTTTACTACTTTAATTTTCTCTGAAATAGAGGCAGACAAAGCACAGCTATTGCTGAAACCAGAATTTCGTTTAAACCTTCATATATGAACCTGAAAATACATAATTTTGAATTAAGCGTCCCTGTAGTCTTTGTTTATGGAGACTACGTGTCAATTGGCCAATAATACTTCTATCTGAAGACAGTAAAGTTAAAATGTAGTTTCCCTTTGTTATTTTGATAGAGTAGAGCTTCCCCCCAATACTGCTTCAAATATGTTGTCTTTTTTAAATTCAGGAGACTAAAAAACCAAGTTACTTCAATTGTTTCTCCAGTATTTTGATCAGTAGCCCATATGGAATGGTGCTAGGCTTTGTAGCTGATACTGGTTTTATTTTACAAAAATATATAGCAAAGTTCGATATATATATATTTTAATTTGTATTACCAAAGGCAAACTATTTGGTCATGCTTTTATTTTGAGCCATCCAATTTCTAAACAATGTATGCTTTTCAATATATAAAGAAAATATTTGGTGCAACTATATCTTTTTAGTTTTTCAGTTTTATTGAAGAGATGGCTAGGAGATTCCATTAGACATAATAGAATTACATCATTAATACAGATTTGAGAAGACGCCTCCATTGAGATTGTTTTGCAGAGAGAATTAAGGAATTACAAGATATGTATGTGTCAATCACTTACCCAAAGCCAGCTGTGAACTGAAGTAGTTTTATAATGCTTTATGGCTAACAGTTCTTACAGATTTTATTTTGTTGGAGCAATACTACTTAATTTCCTTCTATATGCAGCAAAGAATTCTAGAAAACTTTCAGTGTATATCTCTAAGAAATGTACACCTCAAAACTCTAAAAGTATGCTTTTAAAAGTGTTCCACCTATGGTTTTTGGCTTGTCATAACAAAAAAAATATTCATTTTACTTATGTTGCAGTATAGGATGCAGCTTTGTGTATCATACTTTCACATCATGAATTTTTGCAGCACATCTTAAGTTGATGCTGAAAGTTTGGAGAGGGGAATGATAAAAGCTACATAAGAACATCAAGTAGTAGTTTTCTGTGTAGTGCGACTATCTGTGTATGTTTTTTTGTCTATTGTTGAAAAGAAAAGTGAGTTTTCTTCTAAAGGTTTTAGACCAAAAAAAAATCTTACACAGTTGGTTAATATCAAATTGTGGTCGCATTCCCATAAACAGAATGAAGACATCCATTTTATTAGTTACTGTGGATGATATTTAATGCATTGATTGATTATTCTGTGATCTTCAGAGGTTAAAAGGAGATGGAGGCTAAGAACATGAACTCGATGATCTTACAGGAAATATCTCAGTAGGCTAATGGGCGTGATGGAGCCTCTAGGGTTCCATGGTGAAGATCAAAGAAACACATCCCTTCCCAACATTTTATCATGACTGAAATACACCTCTGAAATAGTTAAAAACTATTTTAAAAAAAAAACAAACCAAAAACCCAACAAAAAGAGCAACAACATATTTCACCATTGCTGTCAACTCTTAAGAGCACCATTAAAAGAAAGAATTGTGTGTCAAGGGGATGTTGTTATTTTGTGTATTATGTTCAGCCGTAAGCATATTTGCCTGAAGAGATAGCGGATTATAAAGTGCCACTGTCTTTCATGATGGAGCTCTCAAACATTTTAATGATCTTGTACATTGCAAAAGAGAGAAATTTTGTCTAACAAGAGTTGATAATGATTCAATAATGAACAATTTGCCACAGAAAGATGCATTTCCATATTCATTTAGATATTTTTTTGAAGTGTTTTGCAGAGGAAGTAAAGCTATTATGTTGGATTGGTTAGTGTTCTTCACTAATGAATTCCAGAATTATCCTGTTGATTTGTTAGTATAAAAAAAGAAGGGCTGTTGCTTGTATTTTAAGTAAAACCACTGAATCCTCTTGGCACCAGCATAGTCTGTTAGTATCCATAGAGATATGTAGAAAATCAGCCTAAGATATATTGGTGGTATTGTAGCTTCATTTAGGCTTGATAATCTTTGCTTATTCAACATTTTCTGTTTTAATTACATTGTAGAAGACTATTTGCAAGGATACCAGATTCCTTTCTCTGCAGTAATGTTGCCTTTTAGTACTCTGCACTTGGAAGGAGAGGTCAGTTTTTGCTAGGAGCCTTCAAGCGTGTGGTATTGTATCTTCTCTTGTACCATTCCCTGGACTTTATTCTGTTGAGCTTTTCTACATCTGCTTACGGGGAAGAAAGGAAGGACATCGTTCTTGAATATAGCTTAAAGGGGTTTTTGGTGATCCTTCTTGAAAACTTGCGGTGGGTGACTTCGTTTCTTTTGTGTGTCTGTTTTTCCACGAGAGGTAGAAAGGATAAAGGCAAAGCTTTTGCGCTCCATGTTGATCGTCTGTGTACTGCACGGTTCCACAAGGTTGCACATTATTGGAAGTCCTTAAAAAATTTAGGCAATAGTAAATGATAAGGTGGTGGTTGAAGATAAGTTTGCCATGTTGCAATCTGTCCCTTGACGTAGAAATAGAGGTCATTCTTCCAAGTTTTCTTTCAAATATACTTGTTTTCTCATTATCTCTTTAACTAGTTGCTTTACAGTTTAATTGGGTTAAATTTTAGACCTCTGGGTGTTCCTGGGCTAGCCACAGGATTTGAAGACCTGTCAACCAAGATATCTGGAAACTGTCGTAATCTGAAACTCTGAATGTGTGGGAATGGAGGATTTTAGATCACTTGCATCTTCCCGACCTCACCTACTCACCAACTCTAGTAGCCCAGCTGCAGGGTTGTAGTTACTAGGTCATTTCAAGTCATCTGTGGATGTGGTAACGCTCACTGCTGTGAGTATCCTAGTGAGGTGGTGACTGTGCTCCTCTTCCTAACGAACTGACTTCTGCTTCATGCTCGGTACGGTCAGGATACTTTCTTACAGCCAGCATTAAAAGTATGGAGGACCTGACGGAGCAGGGACGTCAAGACACATCAGTCAGTATTTATGAGGGAGGGAGTAGAAACTTGTTAGAGTAATCAGAGCAATAAATGATGCAGATTGTTAATCAAAATATAGGTTATTGTACTGTAACTGTTTATACTGCGAATATAAAGGGTAAGCCTGATTCTTGTCCTGATAGAAATAAATGGGTGAAAGAACCAAACATAGTTCTCTCTCATGAAAGCCGAGTAATACATTTTGGGCTTTTTTGCAGTGCAGCTTCCTTTAATGTTGGTTGTACTTGATGCGCTTGAATCACTCGGCTGGTTTGTCATCAGGCTTCACAAAACTGGGCTTGCGAGTAAATTATATATATATATATATATACACACACAGACACCATTTATTTTACCCTCTATTGGTGTTTAAGTGCCTTGTACCGATGTATCAGGTGGTTAATCGGAATACACTGGTTAGAAAAGGCCATCTGGAGCTAAGGGCAGCAGGAGTGGAGAGGTGCTTGATGGGTTGAGGCCAAATTCCATGCATTTTCAAAGGTAGTTTTTTGAGTTACTGTGAAACGAAAGACTCGTTTTGTGGATTAATCATACAAATGAGCGATCAATGTCTGGATTGGCATGCCTTCTGATTTTAGAGGTACTGTTCACTTAATTGACTAGATTGCCTGATTGCATAGGTTTGTAAGAAAGCCTGTGCTTCTGCCAGTCCCTCTTTCAAACTACTGAACTTACTGGGTCTAATTTTTTCTTGTAAAATGTATTGTTTGACTTGTAAGTTAAGCACTCCAGTTGGCTTGGACAGAGTGGTAAGTATTTTTAAAGATGAACGGCAGGGATGTTCTTTGAAGCAGTGTGGTAAATAGCTGAAGCCTCTGGAGGCTTTCCAGTATTGATACTGTTCTTGACCAGGTGATGTAAGCCTTTTAAACCTTCATTTGGGAAAGGTTGTTCTCAGTAAAAGGAGAGGCTTTTGAGCTTTAAAACACAACTAAAAGGCGGCATGCGTCTGAATTCTTTCGCAGTTAGGTGTCTAACTAATCTTCAGGAAAACTGCTAGTTTTC